AAGAAGAAATAATGCGTAGTTGTTTATTTGAGTCCTCACATAAGAAGAACCAAAAACGATCACAAGAACAAGAACTGATAAAATTATATTAATGGGTTTGTGTTCCATTCCGGCCGACAAAACGGAAGTTTACAAATTGTTGTTTAGCATCGATCATCGTTTGGGTAAGATACCATAGATCAATTTTGTATTAAAGTTAACTTTAAGGTGAGTGATACAATTTATAAGTCTTAAGAAACAGTTGAACGAAACAGAAAAATTAGAGGTTCGGTTCGAACGACTTTCACAAAATTAAGAAAATTGAAAATGAACTGCAAAATTAACATACAAATATAGAGCTTTTGCAAGAATAGCCCACGGTGCTAATCGGTAGAGAAGCTAGCTTATTAAAATATAATAAAATTATAAATGCAAAAAGCACTGTGCGAAAATTAGAAATTCCTTAGAATACAGAGAAGCTATCATTAGACGTAATTCGAAAGTTACTAGACATTTCCATATTCAGTTAAAACCCAAACAACTCCGCAAGTTTCTGATATCAAAACTGATTACAACAATAAATTACGCGGTCTTAGTGTGGAAACTTTTTGTAGTGATTTATTTAAATTTAACGGATTTTGGGGTCAGTATTAAGCGGCTATTCACTAAACACCCTTCAACATGTTAAGAAATGTAACTACTTAAGATTGTTACACAGCAATTCAACTGCAATAGGCATAAGAGTATTACCGTTAATAGAGGAGAAAACTATAAAAAGTCCATCGAATTTTTAATTGACAGACTTTCAAAGGAAGAAATATTAATTATTGCACATATAAATTTTCTCCTATCCTTGGAGCTTTTCGGAGGGGTGGTACTATCTGAAAAAAAGAAGTTATCCGTGCCACTTCCAACTTTTCCAACATACTAGAAAATATGAAAAGGTGAAAAAGCAGGATTTGTATGCTGATTTATAGGATTTGTATGCAAATAGCACACTTTTTTTATGTAAGCAGAGTAGAGGACATTTAAAAAATAATATAATAAATAAAAAAACTTTTAAACTAAGGGTTTATTGCTAATAAAAATTTTTAAAGGTTCAGTCCGTTAGGTCATGTATGAAATAAAAATGAATGATTTAAATATTTAATTCTAAATAACTATTAAACAGACAGTACTTAATTAATCTGGTTTTTTTTTTACTAATTCATCTATATTAGGATTAGTTCCTAAAGATGCTAAGAAAATTAGGTGTTAGAGGCGCCTATATCCGTTAATCTTGAACCATATTTTGATATTGTGCTACTGTTGAAACACCGCCGTGCTACACTGTGGCACGCGTGCCGCGGGTTGGCCATCCCTGCTGTACGTGGTTCCAGATGTATCCAGTTTAAGAAAATTATATGATGAAATAATAGTTAACTTAGAAACATTAGCAATTAATTTTGATACTTACGGTAATCTACTACTGCCCATTTTATGTAAATTACCACAAGATTTAGTATTACAGTTTAGGAAACAGAAAACAGTCTCAGATTTATTATCACTTTTAAAGACAGAAATAGAAGCGCATGAAAAGTCTAGTATACTAGGTAACCAGTTACTACACACGTCCATTACTGGAAGAGAACTATTTGATTACAGAGATTAACTCGCTTAATAAAATAAAATCATAGTCACCTTCATAACTTCTGTAATTAACAAAAATAAATCACAAGGAGTATGCGTTTGCACGCAGGCAAACGAACAGCAATGCGGAACTACGCTACTGATTGACCAATTAATCATTTAGGCGGACTGCAAGCTTTAACCAGTAGTTGGCGGGTGCTCTAAGGCAATTGGCTGTAACCTTATAATAAGCGCTAAAAGCGTCGCCACAGGGCAAGAAATTGATGCATATTCCAGCTGATGATAAATGATGCAAGCACAGAATTATGAAAGGTGTTCTGTGTCGCCATCTAGTGACGAATGAAGTCTTGAAATGGTGAATAGTAATGAAGTGGAGATTTAGATATAAGACAGAGAGACAGGCATATTCACAAAGCCTACAGACCTTTTCTACTATGGTGTGCTCCGATTGGTTAAAACAGGAAACGTAGGGTTACAGAATCTTGGACTTGGCGATTTTTGCTTCATCGTCGTTGCTATATTAATTGCTGTTTGTGTATGAGCGTCGTGTATCAAAACGCGTTGATATAAAAATAGCGCACACTGGAATAAATATAAGATTAGTCATATTTACTCATAATTTAAGAAAAACGAATAGATATCCGACACCCTTAAATGTTTATTGAATGTTTTCATTTGGTTTATGTTGTGTATTGATTTATTTTACCATATTCCTTCGCTATGTTCAGAAATGGTTTAGTTTAGAAGCATAACTCTTGTTTGTGTGCTGTGAAAGTTATATATTTTCCTTTCGTAATACATTTTCATTGGCGATGCCTAAATTACAATAAACATATTAAATTCATACAGAGTAAATGCTCGGCTTTCTAAGCAACATATATATGTAATACGAGATACCATGGCGATTTAACCTCAGCCACAAATAAATATTTCAGTTATGATGTGACAGGCTTTCCAAGAAATATAAAATACATTGTGATATTACGAACAGAATTACCAAACTTTTATCAGTTATTTCTCCTGTATAATTCTCTGATGACATGATATTCATCTTTTCTCACTGCTGAGTGCTATCTTAACATATTAATGGTACAATAATCTGAATTGAAATGATAGTGGCAAACCATGAAAAAGAGCTGCACAACTGTCTTATGGTCTGACTGTTAATTTGGCTATTCAGAGATATCTGGATTAAGCAATGCCGAGTTCCAAAATAAATGTATTTACCAATATATTTTGAAACTCTAACCTAAGTTAAAGCACATTTAATTTTTTTTTTTTTTTTTTAGAGTTTGTTTTTCCGAAATAGTTATAATAATAAGTTTTAGAAATATATACATGCAATAAAGTTGTAAACTGTATGGCATGTTTAATGCTTCCAACTCCTGTTTGTTCAAATTCTATGAAATACAATGTTATATTTCATTTTGTGCATAAAATAAAAATTTAGTTAAAACTTCTAAAGCATATATATTTTGCAGTATCTTAAACATAATTTTAGTAATATGAAATGGAAAGAACAATTTGTCATTAAAAATTTTGCCTTTCTATTTATAGTATCTGACAGCTATATTGCATACTGAACTGAGAAGCAGCAATAAATTTTGTCTTTCAAATAAATATTTCTATATATACAATAGTAGAATACTGTATACAAAAAAGTGAAGTAAATCAGGTCAATGCGTAGCATCTTCTCAGTCGAAAAACAAGAAGAAATGTTTCTGTGCTCATGCTCCCAACAAACTCTAAATGAAGAGCTCGCGTTACTCCACAAGTAAACAACACGATGTAACCCTTTTTGGCGCCCCCTTCCCCGAAAAAGACACAGTGATCTGATGAAAATCTTGTTTGGAGACCATTTGGCGCCCCTCTCCGAGCGTAGCTCGGGGCATCATACACCCCCTTGCTCACCTCGTTATGCCATTGTTCTGACTATTAATTCTGGCACATATATATATATATATATATATACACACACACACATACACCAAAGAGCCATTATATTATGACCACGCTCCAGCTATAATAATGAGCTCGTCCAGGAACAAAACCACTATGCGTGAACAGCTGATGTTGGATGGCATCAAAGTCTTTTCAAACATAGCGCGATTAGCGACATATTGGGAAAAGCAGCTGATTTACCAGACTTTGATAAAGGTCAAATCATTACGGTTCAGCGACTTGGAAGATCAATACCAGAAATGGCGCGTTTAGTGGGGTGTTTGCATACAGTTATGAGCACATATCGAAAGTGGTGTATGGATGGTGAAACAACGAGTCGCCGGCACATTGTTGCTTCAAGAGAAGAAAGGAGATTGCTATGCATTGTTTGCCTTGACTGAAGGGGTACAGCAGTGACAATCTAGACAGTGTTTCTCAACCCAATGTGCAGCACATATTGTTACATATGGGCTTATGCAGCCGAAGCGTGTTCCTGTATTGACTGCACATCATCGCCAGCTGCGACTGCAATGGACCATGAAACATCAGAATTGGATATTAGAAGAATGGAAAAAAGTTGCATAGTCTAACAAATCACGTTTTCTGGTCCATCACATTGACCAGCATGTGCTAATATGCCTGATTTCCAAATGAAACCCTTGGCTCCCGGATGCACAGTTGGACGGAGACAAGCTAGTGGTGAGGTGGGCAAAGTTTTCATGGAGCACCCATAGACAATCCATAAGCCCCATAGAACAATCACTGACATCTGTGAGCTATGTGAACATTGTTGCTGATAAGGTTCATCCATCAATAGCAACAGTATTTCTAACAGGGAATGGAGTTTACCAGCAGGATAATGCACCATGCCATAAAGGTTGAATCATCAGGGAGTGGTTTGAGGAACATTCAAGTGACTTTCTTTTTGCTTTCATGTTATAATTGATAGATCACTGGTTTGAAATACGCATATACATTCTTTGTCGCTAAAACTCAATTCAAATCAAATATAAAGAAATCTCACTTACCTGTCAGACGCATTCTCGCCTTTTATCATTTTCTCATATTTTATTGACGACACAATTAAATACATTTACAACAAAGAGAGGCACATATAAACTTTGGTTAATGTTTCGCGTTGGTGTTACATCTTTCGCAATCATCAAGGTTCTGAACTAGTCCGAAGAATTCAAGCGCACACAGCGCCATCTGGTGCAATACAGTTTCTACAGACTGCCCCCCGAATGACCAGGGGTTCATTCAAACACTTACATTAATACAAATTTAACAAAAGAAACTTTTACAATGTAAAGTTCACTCAATTCACATATTAAAGAAACTACAATTATTTACTATATAAACAAATCATTCATCGTTAAGCAATTTGTAAAGTTACCTGCAATAAAGTATAATAAAGGTTATAAGCTGGCAACTCAATACCTGTACATACATTAAACTTTCATCACATATATGGAATAGTCCTGTAACAATAATACAGATTAATAAACATATAATAAACAAGTAAATTTATTCATTTATTTCAAGATTATATAAAAGCTGCACAGGTCTTTTAATAACTGATGTACCTGTTTTAATTTCACAAGACCTTACTTTTCCATCTCTGCCAGGAAATACTGTTACAACTCTTCCTAATTTCCAAAAATGTCTAGGTAGCTTTTCATCATGAATTAATACAATATCATTAACTTTAAATTCAGTAATTTTACCTGAAGGTTTAACACAATGAACAGATCTCAGCATTAATAAGTATTCATTTTTTCCATTTATTCCAAAACATACTTACCAATCTTTCTCGATAATTAAATCTTTTAATTAGCATTTTCCTATTAACTAAATTAGAATCAAAATGAAGCCTGGCAGGAGGCAAACTATTCACCCTGCGCCCCAATAGCATATGAGCTGGAGTTAGAGGCATAGGTTCCTGTAATTCAGAATAAACATAAGTTAAAGGACGAGAGTTAAGAACACCTTCAATTTCAATAATTAGAGTTTCTAACTCGTCTCGAGATAAAGTAGTTTTTCTTAGAGTTTTTCGTAAAGCAAGTTTTACAGATTTAATTAGTCTTTCATAGAAGCCACCCCACCACGCAGCTTTCTCAGCGATGTAGCACCATTGGATTTTGTGGGAGGCGTAAAAGTCTTTTACTGTTGGATGACTAATGACAGTCCACAAATTTTTAAGTTCAAGTTCTGATCGTTTGAAAGTTTTGGCATTGTCCGTCAAAACTTGAGAACATAGACCTCGACGAGCAATGAATCGTCGAAAAGCAAGAAGAAATGTTTCTGTGGTCATGCTGCCAACAAACTCTAAATGAAGAGCTCGCGTTACTCCACAAGTAAACAACACGATGTAGTTTTTCTCATCACTGTCTTTGGTATAAAGTGGTCCACCGAAATCTATACCTACTACAGAAAAAGGAGGTAATTCTTCTGTTCTATTTACTGGTAAAGGAGCAGTAACTTGCACACCAGGAGAAGAATTAAATCGTTTACACAGAATACATTTTCTTAAGATATTTTTAACAGTTTGTCTTCCTTTAATTATCCAGTATCTTTCGCGTATTTCTATCAAAGTTTCAGAAATTCCACCGTGAAACACTTTGCTGCTGTGTGCATCCCACACTAATAAATTCACAAAGTGATGTTTTGAGGGCATAATAATTGGGTGTCTTTGAAGGTAAGAAAGTCTTGACTTCTGAAGTCTTCCACCAACATGCATTATCCCGTCATTATTAAGAAAGGGATTCAGTTCTAGAATAGAGGAAGTCTTAGAAATTGTTTTACCCTGTCTCAAAGAGGACAGCTCTTCCGCAAAAGCTTCACTTTGAACAGTTTTTGTCCAGATAATTTCAGCCTCGTTAAGTTCTTCAGTGCTTAGTTCACCACATCGTTTAGTTTTAAATTTAAGGTTGTATATAAATCGTAGTATCCAACTTGTAACACGGTATAATTTTCTTAAACTACTATATCTATTCAAATCCATTAAATGTGTCAAATTCGATTGCACTTCGCACACAAAAGACGATACTTCTTCCAGTTTACTTCTTTTTTCGCAATATACTTCTGGAGAAATCTCTAGACAAATTTCATAATTAGAGCCTTTTGGCCAATCCCTTTTCTTCAACCGAAGCCATTCTGGACCTTGCATCCAAATCGAACTGGACATAAACTTTTCCACGGTAGCTCCTCGAGATATGAAATCTGCAGGATTATCCTGCCCACTACAGTGATTCCAATCAGCAGGATCAGTTCTAGACTGGATTTCGGATACACGGTTCGATACAAAAGGTTTCCATTTTGAAGCTTTCCCTTTAATCCAATGAAGAGCGATTAAGGAATCTGTCCACATATATACCCTAGGCACAGGAAATTTAAAATTTGTTTTCAAATATTGGAAAAGTCTAGAAGAAATAACAGCTCCCATAAGTTCAAGCCTCGGTAATGTCAACCTTTTAAGCGGTGCGATTCTAGATTTCGCAGTGATAAAACTTGTATAAATACAATCATCACTTGACACGTAACGGAAGTACGCAACTGCTCCGAAAGCTTTAGGAGAAGCGTCAGAAAATATGTGTAGTTCTAATTCTTTCACCAACTTCCATGGTATGGAGAAATATTTTCTTTCGATTGTCAAATCTTTCAACAGATAAATCTGAGAGCACCAATTATCCCATTTTTTCTTCAAGTCAGTTGATAGCTCATCATCCCATCCTAAACCAAGTTCCCATATTTCTTGCATTAATAATTTTATGAGAACAATAAAAGGTGATGCAATTCCCATAGGATCAAATAACTTCGAAGCTGTCTGAAGTACACTACGTTTTGAATTCTTCCTATCACAGGTCATGTCCAGTAGAGGTTTTACATCTAACTTAAAAGTATCTTCTTCGGTGTTCCATATTATGCCTAAAACCTTCAAAGGACGTTCTTTAGTTTCTGTCACATCAGACAAACCTCGTTCACTCCATAAATTTCTCAACTCATCCGAATTAGTATTAAATTTTCTTAAATTCATGTTCGCATCTTTAAGAATTTTTACAGCGCTCTGTGAAAGTTCTAAAGTTTTCTCTATTGTATTTGCTCCGTAAAAAAGATCATCTACATAAAGTGCCGAGTCAAGCATTTCACAAGTTTCGCTTTGTTCAAGTTTATATTTTCTAATGTGGTATTTAATAGTCGCAGCAAGGATAAATGGGCTTGATGTCACTCCAAAGGGAACGCGAGTCATTCGTAAAATTTTGTAAGTTTTTGAATCACTTTCATCTGGAAACCAGAAAAAACGTAAATAGTCTCTATCCTCTTCCGCTATTCCTATGGTCAAAAATGCTCCCTGAATATCACAGCTGAATGCATATTCATATTCGCGAAATCGCAAGATTACATCCAAAATTCTGGGATTCAACGGTGGCCCAGGATTCAAGCATTCATTAAGAGATTTGCACCCATTACCTTTTGACGATGCATCGAAAACCAATCTGACTTTCGTAGTGTCCCTATCCGATCTTACTACAGCTGAATGAGGCATATAATAAGAATTCTCTTCTAAGCCGAAAGGACATTCTTCAACGATATTCAGTTTTAATTGCTCCTTAACTATATTCTTATATTCATTATAAACCCAATCATTTTCTTTCATTTTTACACTTAAGTTACGAAATCTTCGTTTTGCTACCGCGAAATTGTTAGACAAGTTTTCTGGTTTACCGTCCCAGAATAATTTAGTTGTATACATTCCATTTTCATATTTTAAATTACTTTCGAATTGAGAAATAAATTCCTCTTTAAATTTAAAATCTCCACTGTGAGTATCATTTATCCCCATTGAATCTAACTGCCAAAACTGCGTTAGTTTTTCATTTAATGCGGCGCAACATTCAATTTTCATAATAGAAATATCCCGATTCGCATTTAAATCTGATGGAGGGATTCGACCTTGAACAACCCTTCCAAACAGAGTATCAATCAAATACAAAGATTTATTTAATCGCTGTTTTTCTCCCGTATGAAATATCCCAAAAATACTGTGCTCCTGGAGATCTGATGATTCGACCCAACTTTTCCACACAGTAAACTCAACTAACTAACTTGGATTAATAACAAGTGCCTACTTGAAGATTGGCCGTATATTAACAGAAGCCGTATTTACAGGAACTGTTAACACTACGATCGTTTAAAATTATCAAGAGGATTTTTCTTGAAGGCAACCAGCAACCGAGTAAAACGCTATGGCAAGCGGCCTGCTCCTAATCACTCCTTTCTCTCTCTTGCTTGGCAAAAAGCCACAACTTAAACTTGGCGTTCGCATGACAATTTGCATAAATGTTAAGCTTTTAAATCCGGAAGTAGAAAATAAGAAGTGATAGTAAAGATTTAAAATAAAATAAACGTTAGTAAAACTTAAGATCCTTACACAGTAAGCAGAGAGAATTCATTTCCTGACGATTTACTGAAGTTTGACAACTGAATGTTCTTCCTCGAAAGTATTTGCATTAATTTGTTATGTGATACTTTAAACTGCGATCCAGAAATACAGTCAGTCAAAAGTGCTTCAATCGTTATTTTCTTGTCCGAATCACATAAATTACAAAGTGAAAACCGACTACGTCATACGTTTTTGGTATTGGCACTCTAGAGCCGAAAGTGTAAACAGCTAGACTTTCTTGTCTAATTATGGGTAGTTTCATTTCTACGGCTACTTCTTTTCTCAAAAAACATCTCTGTGACGCATTATCTAACAAAATATTAATCTCTTTGCTTTTATTACTGCCTATTAATACTGCCGAGCAAGTTTCAAGTAGTATGTCGCAATCATCTGATTCATTCACACATGCTACGGAAGACACAACATTTAATTTATTCGCGTCGACGGTCTGACGAGACTCCAGAGGGGGGGAAGAAGAATAAACATTGGGTTGATCGCAAATCAATTCGTGATACATAAAACGTTTACAAATTCCACAAATAGATTTCTTTTGACACTGCTTATATGCGTGCCCCTTCGAAAGGCAAGCGTAACATATACCATATTTTCTAAGATGTTTTGCAATATATTCTAGTATTTTTTGTTTGTACTAGCTGATAAAAATAAAAAAATGAGACACACTACTCATATAAAAATGATACAGTTATTTAATTAATATAATTAGTGGTGTAGCTAAGGTGGGGCAAGGGGAGAGATCTATCCTGGGGATGCCACATTGATGTTTTCCATTCTTGGCACACAGAAAGGACCACAAAAACTTCAGTTGTTTGCAGATGCTGAAAACCCTAGCTATGCCTCTGAACATAATTAACAGTAATATTAATGATAGATAAGGGAAGTGATGTTAGGGTAGAATATTTGGCATTTTAAAAGAAAGGAATCTTCTGGTGTTATGTTTCAGGTGCGAACCCTTAAGTTGGCTCTGAATTTGTTCAATTTAACAGTAAAATATTCTCGATAATGATATACGATATAGGTAATTGAAAACACTTGAATGAGTAAGAATGCACTTTATGGGGATGTAAGCCTTACACCTTAACCAAATCTTACCTTTTGCGGGGAATGCATTACGATTTTAAGCGGTAAAATGCCCCGCAAAGCAGTTTTAGGGTTGCTATAAAATGGCAAGGAAAGGCAGGGTTGCCACATTTGGCAACAAAATTGGCAATATGCCATGGACGGATGGAGAACCTTCTGGAACAAATTCTTACCAGTTTAGCCCAGAATGTTGTTGAACACCAGCCGAAAGCTATATAAACCGTGCTGGTACGAGGAGAGTTAGTATCGAGTTGGAGTCTCTCGTTTAGCGAGTCAATCCCTGTGGAGTCGATCGAGTTGACAGCCGGGCAGCGAGTGCCGAGTGGGTCGTCGAGTGCACCAAAAGTCTCGTAGTGTATCTCGGTTCGTGCATCATCAAGAGAGCGTGTTGAGCTCCGGGAACGACTGAACCGAAGAGTCGGGAGCTGTGCTCTGTGTGTCGTCGAGTGCATCGCGAGTTGTAGCGTGGAAAGTCTCGATAGTACGTGGAGTTCCGAGAACGACCAAGCAGAGTCGGGAGCTGTACTCGGGAGTCGGGAGTGTCGGGAGTGCTTTGACTTGAAGCTGTCTCCATCGTGATAGCCTGATAACCTGGAGGCTGTGTCACTGATCGTGTCAGCGTGTTTATAGTAGTTCATCGACGAGTGTATAAATGTGTTTTGGAGCTGTCTGACAATACCGGCCAAAAAGTGTGTTTCGATACTTCATCAAGTAGTATCGTCATTATTCACTCAAATCCTGACGAACCCCATACGAACGTGAAGGAAGAAAATAACGTAACAACTGGTGTCAGAAAAGAAATACATAACAATATAATGCCCCAATTCAGTGCATTTGTCTACATATTTTTGGTGACAAAGTGAAGTTTATTCATATGTTATATTTTGAATTACTGCAGTGATGTTCTTTTTTGATTCTTTTTAAGGTGTGAATAATTTTTAACAACCAAGTTTGTGTTAAATATCTCCATAAAAAATAGTATGGACCGGTAAGAAGTAGAGATCCCGATTGCTCTAGTTTTTAGATATACGTGTAATTCTGCCTTTAAAACCTCCTCCAATGTTTTCGTGATGAAATCTACTCTGAAACATTTTGCATTATCATGCTATATTTAGTAATGATGTTCATTCTTTTGCAATAAAACAGCAAATGAATAGACAGTATCTTGCAAGGTTCAGCATTCATTGGAAAGAAGAATGATAAACAAGTGCAGGTTTTCAAGGCTTCATGCTTTGCAAAATTTGGCCACAGACATATCCATTTTGATGAAACCATTCCTCATCTGGAAATGTTCCCACAAATTAAGGTCTTGCAAAACAACAGAGATATGGAACACAATGTGACAAATTCAACACCTGCTCTGTGCAAAAGCATCCACGATTGTCGATGATAAAATAGTAGACCTAATATGGCGATTTCAAAAGTTAGATCTCATATCGTTAGGCTGGTTTCAAATCTCAGAGAAGGTACAAATGCTTTGTAAATGTATAGTGATTTTCTGGCATGTGAACATTTAAAATCTACTGAAGCAGAAGTCCCCTTTAGAGGCTGGTGTTAAAAGATGTGGGTTAAGATACTCTTGGATTTTCCTAAATTGTTCCTAGTTGAAACTCAGATAAAATTTAGTAAAATGATTCTGTCACCAGATATGTGCTGAGGCCGTGGTGAATGACCAGCTGTTTCCTTGCCCCACTTATGAACATTCATGAAGCTGCTGCACTGATAGTATGGCCAAGTGTGCAAATCAGCAACAGCAAAAAATACATATCAAATACTGTAGTGATTTTAATTTGATTTTTAAGATTAAGCTTTGGAGACTCTTAAATTTCAAGACTTATTTTACAAGAAATTATATAATTCATCTAAGCAATATAGTCATATTATTTCATATAAGTAGGTTTTTTTCTCTAATGGTAAATGTTATGAAAATCGGATAAAATTTTTGACTGAAAAACCACACTCTAGAATTTTAGCTTCTTTTCCTATTAATACTCTAGTCATAAATATTATTCAACATTCATAAGAGGATGCTTTGAATCTTCCGTTTTGTCTCCAATGATCTAATTTCTCCTGTATTTCTGATCATGCTTTCTGCTATAATTACTATTAGGTAATATAATATACAGTATGTTATGGTAATGTCAATACTTTAAAGAATAAAATTTTTATGCAAAAGTAAAGTATTCAAGAAAGATACCTTCATTTTGTTACTTACTATTTAAGTAAAGAGGGGTATGTTTGTTCAGTGTTTTACCTTATGTAAGCAATCTTATGTTTTCAAATAGATCTGCAGATTGGGAAGACGTGTTTGTCACAATGTAACTTTTATTTATTGCTACTATAAAAATTATATTTATTCTAGTACCTCTAAATTTTAATGATCAGTTTATTATTAAAACTTTTTTCATTTCTACAAAAGATACTACCTCAGAAAATTAGAATTTAATTTCAGAAAGTTTAAGATCTGAATATATCTGAAAATGTCAATAAGAAATTAATACATTTACCAAATGTAACTAGTCCAACTTTTTCTTTCAAATTCCAGTTTCCAGAATGGGTGGGCTTTTATTTACAGTGTGTAAATTGAATTCTATTTTAACATAATTAATAAGACGACATAAAACTCGCATTTAAATTTCTTTTATCAAATGAAGTCACGCAATAAAAAAATTGGCAATCTATCTTCACATAGGAAAAGATTTCCATTTTTTAAAAATATATCTTATTTTTAACATAAGAAATTTCACAGTGCCTCCAACCTCTTACACATGAGTGTTGAAAAAGGTTACGCAAAATGAGAAAACTCAGTGTCCAGTATATTAGAAAGATGGTTATTAAAATTTGATTAATCAAAATTTTATGACAATAAGTGATATCTGCCTAGAACAGGATATTTTCCAGGCAGTAGTTAAATTCAGTGCATCCTTAAAATTTTCATGGTATGTTATTAACTTTGAAGGTGAAATTACACGACGTTTTCTAGAATTACTCATATGTGAGCCACATGTAAAATTAAAAGAAAAAAAAATCCGTACTTTGAAATTTCCAAGTTTATGTATTGAGAAATTAAAAGGTGGTTAACTTAATTGTCTTAACAGTACAAAATTTAAAAGTAATAGAAGCAAAAAATTGTTGCAAATAAATATTATAATAAGGATAGAAGACAAAATTTACATATCTGAAGTACTTTTTCAGTGACTGCTGAAGGACACTGAAAAGAAATCTGTTCTAATGTGAGAGAGGTGATACTGATATTTAATAATCACATGTGGAAATATAAGCTATGTAGGTAGTCTAGGAGTTATTTAAGTTAGGAAAATCAATTCAGTAAGCATAATTCTTAGCACTGAGTGTACGTAACATTCTTTTCATAACATTTATATCCATTAAATCAGCCTCTGAAAATGTCTCCGAGTCTATGTAAAATTTTACTAGAAAGAAAATGTGTTTAAAGATTTA